GCTCGTGTCAGAATAAAGAAAAAAAGACACAGCTGTGTTTCTCTCCTTGGCGGCCGGGAGCAGGAGACTCCCGGGGCACCAGGGAGAGTTAGCTGTTTGGAGATCAGTGCCCCTAGTTAGCAGGTAACCAGGGACGCTGATCTCTCTGAAAGTGGCCGAAGCCGGATCACGGCTGGCTCCGCCTAGCTGTCAGAAGCAGGCTGTCGGCCGGCCAATGGCCGTCCGCTCGGTCAGCTTCGGCTTTCAGCACGGCTCAGCCGAGCCGATGCATATGCGTTTGGCTCGGCTGAGCCGATCGGCCACGATCGGGAGCTGTACGGGCTATTGTGAATAGCCCGTACAGCACCCCTTCGGTTCTACTGAACCGAAGGGGTCCTGGGGCCGAAGCTAGCCGAAGGATCGGCCGAAGCTACGGCCAGATCCTTCGGCAGCTTCGTGAATAGACCCCTTAGTGTCCCCCTACCTCTACCAGTCTGCACGGAATTAAAGTGAGCCAATATCAAGACAGATTCAGGTGCTTAGGTTAGGTTTGTGGCATGCAATGCATTTAATGGTATTTAAAGAACTCCAGGAAAAAAAATATTCTTAATCCTTGCAGTGGGGCAACCTCCACTCAATTTCAATTAGGGTGTAAAATAAAAAGGCTAAACTCACATGAATCTTGGAGCCTCCCTCCCCCTCTGCTCTAGCAGTCTAAGGAACCTCAAGTCATCACTGTGTTTTGGACGTGAGAACACTGAGTAACATACCAATGCTGGAGCAGAGGAAGACAGGCTGGAGAGAGTGCTTTAACAGCCAGCTGTGAGGTTTGGGTGAGTACAACTCACAGCAAACACAACACTTAACCCTTGCAGGGTTTAGAATTATTTTTCCGGGAGTTTTTTTTAATGAACGCATACAATAATATATTAAAACACTATATTGCATGTCCATTAGATACTGTGCTACGTAAACATACTTTGCACTTGCAGATACACTGATGTGGTTCATATTTAATTCAAAGTGAGACATTTCATGCAGAGGTGTATTAAAGAACAATTTTCAAATAGATTTAACCTGCATCAGCACATCACTTGTCACTCCATTTTGTTTTTTCACTCTTGCTATAACACACCATTAAGGTGAGTTGCCATAGCAATACACAGGAATATTGCCTGTTTGATGTGCCTTGGGGTTGACTGGAACGAAGAATCCGAATACCTTCAGCTACATCTGTAGCTCAGCTCAAATATTTTCTGAAAGCACAATTTTCTCTTTCTTGTTGCATTGATCCTTTCTAATGCTTTCATTTTATTTTAATGCATATAGTCTATAAGAAAGAATCACACAAGTGCACCTGTAGTGCAGAACAAAGAATATACTGCAAAGCAAGATAAAGTAGCTAGTTGAAGCCACTGTTTTGTATTTAGTCATATAGGTTTTAGTGTATTTGGAAGGATAGTGCAGAACGTCTGCCCTCTGGTTTGTTAAAGCTGAACTTCATGCAAACAGCGAGGTACACAATTATCTGCCAAATTATTTGTATGTTTTGTTCATTCCTGTGATTTATACAAAACATGTTTATGCAAGACACTGATTGACCCCCAATGGTACCCGTCCATCTCCCTATTAACAGGGGAGTACAGGTGGCTGATATCAAGTGAAATTCAGGTACAGTAAACTCTCAGTTATCTGGAATTCAACTAACCAGAACTCTGATCTAAGCAGCAAAAAAAATAAAAAATCCTGTGTACTCACGGGATCTGCATGATATGCAGCATATATTATCCTGGAAATGATTGTGTGTCTATTTGTCTTAATTTGTCCTAAGTGTGTCTATTTGTCTTAATTTGATTTTGATTACTGCATTTCAATATTAATATGAAGTCAATAAAGAGTCTATGTTATGGTATGGTATATTATGGGGTATGGCATTAGTTAGACCTATTTTTAATAGTAACTCTCAAGCAACCAGAAACTCAATTTATCCGAAATCTACCAATCCCCGTGGATGCTGGATAATGGGGAGTTTACTTTATTTATACCAGCTAAATTAAAAAAAAAAAATGTCATTTGTATTGAATATGTAATTGGATTGAATTGGCAGTTTTACGGAGTTCAGTTTTAAAGGCCACTTGTTTACATATCCTGCATGAAGCCTATAAAGAGCATTGGCTGTGGCATTTGGTGTCACAGTGTTTATACCACATAGTGTCTAACCAATCTCTATGTTTTCAGCATTAGGAAAACCCTATAGCACTTGGGTCAACTTTCCACATGGTAATTGTTATAATATTGTTTTTATGCTCCCAAGTTATGGAAAAATACCACCTAATTAAAATGCAGTTGTTATATTTTTATTCTGTAACACTATGTTATAAGCCGTTGTAAAACAAACTGTAGAGCCATAGGATTCCTAATAATGTAAAGGATTCTATAGTATTTATTTTCTATAGGATTCCTAATAATGTAAAGCATCTTGTTTGCTTTGAATTGCTTGATGCTTGTTTGCTATGCTCAGCTCAAGGTTAATTTGGGAAGATATCTCTCATCTGCTTGTTTGTCTATTGATGTGTGTGGTGCCCTCGCTGCACTTTTGACACAGCACAACAATAGGATATTAAATACAAAAGATGGAACTTGAACTGAGGTTCAGAATGATTAGCAGTGCGGCACTTAAAAGCCTAGCAATTAGAAATACCAAATTAAATCTGCAAAACAGTGTGAGTTAACATTAATGCCTGGATATAAAAAAGCATATCCTTTTGTTGATATTTTTGGATAATAATAAAATAAATTCTCTTTTTAAAAAAAAAACATATACAGTATATAATTGGTACAAAAGCCAGTTT